TAGTGAGCAGCAGTAAACAACTGTCTAGTGAGCAGCAGTACACAACTGTCTAGTGAGCAGCAGTAAACAACTGTCTAGTTAGCAGCTGTAAACAACTGTCTAGTGAGCAACAGTAAACAACTGTCTAGTGAGCAGTAAACAGCTGTCTAGTGAGCAGCAGTAAACTGTCTAGTGACCAGCAGTAAACAACTGTCTAGTGAACAGTAAACAACTGTCTAGTGAGCAGCAGTAAACAACTGTCTAGTGAGCAGCAAACAACTGTCTAGTGAGTAGCAGTAAACAACTGTAGTGAGCAGCAGTAAACAACTGTCTATTGATCAGTAAACAGCTGTCTAGTGAGCAGGTATAAACAACTGTCTAGTGAGCAGCAGTAAACAACTGTCTAGTGAGCAGTAAACAGCTGTCTAGTGAGCAGCTATAAACAACTGTAGTGAGCAGCAGTAAACTGTCTAGTGAGCAGTAAACAGCTGTCTAGTGTGCAGCAATCAACTGTCTAGTGTGCAGCAGTAAACTGTCTAGTGAGCAGCAGTAAACAACTGTCTAGTGAGTAGCAGTAAACAACTGTAGTGAGCAGCAGTAAACAACTGTCTAGTGATCAGTAAACAGCTGTCTAGTGAGCAGCAGTAAACAACTGTCTAGTGAGCAGTAAACAGCTGTCTAGTGAGCAGCTATAAACAACTGTAGTGAGCAGCAGTAAACTGTCTAGTGAGCAGTAAACAGCTGTCTAGTGTGCAGCAAGCAACTGTCTAGTGTGCAGCAGTAAACTGTCTAGTGAGCAGCAGTAAACAACTGTCTAGTGAGCAGCAGTAAACTGTCTAGTGAGTAGCAGTAAACAACTGTAGTGAGCAGCAGTAAACAACTGTCTAGTGATCAGTAAACAGCTGTCTAGTGAGCAGCTATAAACAACTGTCTAGTGAGCAGCAGTAAACAACTGTCTAGTGAGCAGTAAACAGCTGTCTAGTGAGCAGCTATAAACAACTGTAGTGAGCAGCAGTAAACTGTCTAGTGAGCAGTAAACAGCTGTCTAGTGTGCAGCAAGCAACTGTCTAGTGTGCAGCAGTAAACTGTCTAGTGAGCAGCAGTAAACAACTGTCTAGTGAGCAGCAGTAAGCAACTGTCTAGTGAGCAGCAGTAAACTGTCTAGTGAGCAGCAGTAAACAACTGTCTAGTGAGCAGCAATAAACAACTGTCTAGTGAGCAGCAGTAAACAACTGTCTAGTGAGCAGTAAACAGCTGTCTAGTGAGCAGCAATAAACAACTGCTCTAGTGAGCAGTAAACAACTGTCTAGTGAGCAGCAGTAAACAACTGTCTAGTGTGCAGCAGTAAACAACTGTCTAGTGAGCAGCAGTAAACAACTGTCTAGTGAGCAGCAGTAAACTGTCTAGTAAGCAGCAGTAAACAACTATCTAGTGAGCAGCAGTAAACAACTGTCTGAGCAGCAGTAAACTGTCTAGTAAGCAGCAGTAAACAACTGCCTAGTGAGCAGCAGTAAACAACTGTCTAGTGAACAACAGTCAACAATAATCTTCACGAAAATAAATATATGAAGCGCTAAGCCCGTATGAGTTATTGACTGAGTGCTAAGCAGACATATTACTCAGTAGTTCTTACCAGGTAAGACGTGAGTGACGCTCATGTCTTACCATTATTTAAACATGTTAAAAAATAGCATATTACGTAAACAAAGGGAAGTCATGTATCAAAGTAAACGTCACTAGCAGTCTATATGCATCGTAAATTCTGTAAATAAATTATATAAATAATATATTTGGGTCCCCCAGCGCTGGCTAAACATTCTCCCTCCAGTAAATCAAGACAGCCAACCTTCCTTACTAGTAACGTTGTTTCTAGTCTTCCTCAGCAACAGCTGTGCCAAGTATGATTCACGAAATCGTAATGACACGATTGCAAACAAACCATACCCCGGCCGGGATTGAACCCGCGGTCAGAGAGTCTCAAAACTCCAGCCCGTCGCGTTAGCCACTAGACCAGCTAGTCACAATAAGATTCGTCCAACTAGGTATATTTCTACACCATAGAAAGGTTAGCACAGGCACCACTGTGACCACAAATGCAAGTTTTTACAGACGAATCTACACCTGTGGTGTAGAAATATACCTAGTTGGATGAATCTTATTGTGGCTAGCTGGTCTAGTGGCTAACGCGACGGGCTGGTGTTTTGAGACTCTCTGACCGCGGGTTCAATCCCGGCCGGGGGTATGGTTTGTGCCAAGTATGTTTATTTTGGTACAAATATAAATAAGTAGAATTGTCATACCTAGTAACATGTATGTAATATACCTAGGATAAACCAATAAAAACAGTCAAACGAAGTGACTTTCATCCACTAAAGTTCTACTATTATCGCATTACTTAAAGCCTCAATTGTGTGAATATCATTTACTGTAATAGGAGGTGCAATAGGAATAAAGTGAGATGAATTATTTATACATAAACATTAAATAGAGAGGATCAGAAGAGTGTTAACTATAGAAGAAATATCTTATTTTTAACTAGTTTAGCCCCTCATACACTTCTCTGCATGGCACTTTACCTAACACCAACTAGCCGATCGATCCCATCCATTGCCCGTTCATCTTTCTACAGCTGCACTTGTGGCTTGTTCATAACGATGGTTTTAACTCTTGCTGAGCACATGTGTACGGAGCACCTGGCGTTCTCTCACTAGGTGGAGTCTTGCCTCACCCTCAACAGGGGAGAGTAGAGCCCCTGGAACTCATTCATCACGTGAATATTCCCACACACACTACAAGTGAGAGTAGAGCCCCTGGAACTCATTCATCACGTGAATATTCCCACACACACTACAAGTGAGAGTAGAGCCCCTGGAACTCATTCATCACGTGAATATTCCCACACACACTACAAGTGAGAGTAGAGCCCCTGGAACTCATTCATCACGTGAATATTCCCACACACACTACAAGTGAGAGTAGAGCCCCTGGAACTCGCTCATCACGCGAGTATTCCCACACACTTACCAGGCGAGTGTTGAGCCCCTGGAACTCACGTGAGTCTTGCCTCGCACAATCTGGAATAAATCCACACTATAAATCCCTCTAGCAGAGTCGTTCTCAACAGTTACATTTTTTAATTGAACAAAACTGGGAATATCCACAATATGTTGCCACTGTGTTCAGTGTGACTACACTGTGTTCAGTGTAACAACTACACTGTGTTCAGTGTAACAACTACACTGTGTTCAGTGTGACAACTACATTGTGTTCAGTGTGACAACTACACTGTGTTCAGTGTGACAACTACACTGTGTTCAGTGTGACGACTACACTGTGTTCAGTGTGACAACTACACTGTGTTCAGTGTGACAACTACACTGTGTTCAGTGTGACAACTACACTGTGTTCAGTGTGACGACTACAGTGTGTTCAGTGTGACGACTACAGTGTGTTCAGTGTGACGACTACAGTGTGTTCAGTGTGACGACTACAGTGTGTTCAGTGTGACGACTACAGTGTGTGCAGTGTGACGACTACAGTGTGTGCAGTGTGACGACTACAGTGTGTGCAGTGTGACAACTACAGTGTGTGCAGTGTGACAACTACAGTGTGTGCAGTGTGACAACTACAGTGTGTGCAGTGTGACGACTACAGTGTGTGCAGTGTGACAACTACAGTGTGTGCAGTGTGACAACTACAGTGTGTGCAGTGTGACAACTACAGTGTGTGCAGTGTGACAACTACAGTGTGTGCAGTGTGACAACTACAGTGTGTGCAGTGTGACAACTACAGTGTGTGCAGTGTGACAACAACAGTGTGTGCAGTGTGACAACAATGTGTGAGAAAGGAATGGTTGGAGTGGAAATTACCTATCAACTTCTATGTCTGACTGAGCTGTTTTAGACTAACATGTTCTAAATAATGTGATCTGGAATATTTGGAAATATAAACACATATGCAGTATAATGTGATCCTTTATTGACAACGTTTCGCCCACACAGTGGTCTTTTTCATGTCACAAACAGATTTACCTGGGGTGGAAGGTATGCGAGCATTTATAGTCAGGTTCAGAATGTTGGGGTCAGGTGGAGAATGCTGCATCTGATGATCTACCGAGTGGGGTTATAGAGTCTAAAATCTTGGGTAGCTTGGATGGGAGATTGGATAAGTTGTGAGCAGACCTTCTGCAGTGTTCTTCCATTCTTATGCTCTTATGTGGGATAGCGATGAAAAAGTTTCTTGGCAAGTTGTTCAGCTATGTTATAGAAGCCATTGTCCTGGTTGAAGTTGTTGGATATAGAGATAAGTGATGATTTCAGGATTCTTCAGTATTGAGTGTTGTCTTCTGTGGCGATAAGTCTTGAGTTTCTGTAGTTTATTAAATGGTTGGGTGAATTACGGTGTTGTGCACAGGCATTCCTTGTATCGTCAGACCTGCTTGCGTATTGGTGTTCTGAAATACGTGTTTGGAGGTCTCTTGATGTTTCGCCCACATACAATTTGCTGCAGTCATTACAAGGGATTATGTATACCCCTGCAGAGAGTAGAAGCTTGTCCTGTCTATTACTGGTAATGTTCTTGATAGTCGTGGTTGTGGAGGTAGATACTTGGAATGAGGTATTGGAAAAGATGTTGGAGACGTGTTTGGCAATGGAGTTGGTGGGGAGGACTATGTATCTCTTCTCGGCAGTGTCTTCTCTGGGTGTGTTGAAGATGTTTAATGCCCGCCGTCTGCAGTCTCTGATGAAGTGACGAGGATAGTGGAGTTTGGAAAATACTTGTTCAATTATAGTGCATTCTTCCTCAAGAAACTCATTGCTGCAGATTCTGAGTGCACGCAGGAAGAAGCCTATAATTACATTTCCATTGTGTCTATAATTATATTTCCATTGTGTCGGCATTTTATACCATTTATTTCCGATCTGGAATCTTTACTCTCACCATACCCTGATTTTCTCAGTTATAAATAAACAAATAAGATTTTTATTGTTACAGGAAGAGCAAGATCCTTGTGTTACACCTGACAGAGGAGCAAGATCCTTGTGTTACACCTGACAGAGGAGCAAGATCCTTGTGTTACACCTGACAGGGGAGCAAGATCCTTGTTACACCTGACAGGGGAGCAAGATCCTTGTGTTACACCTGACAGAGGAGCAAGATCCTTGTGTTACACCTGACAGAGGAGCAAGATCCTTGTGTTACACCTGACAGAGGAGCAAGATCCTTGTTGCACGTGGCGTAGGAGCAAGATCTTTGTTGCTTGTGACGGAGGAATAAGATCCTTGTGTTGCACGTGACGTAAGGGCAAAATCCTTGTGTAACAAGTAACAGAGGAGCAAGATAACACGGGAACAAAATCCTACCGCCATAAAAGGAGGAGTAGGACTAGCGAAGATGATGTCAGCATGGTACATGGTGATGGCGGTGCTGGTGGTCACTGTGACTTGCACCTCGGCTGTCGTCTTCCCACCGCCTGCTGCCAACGAGGCAGGTGAGTCGTGCTCTCCTCAGAGGAAAAGAACTGAATATTTGTTTCCTTATTTGTCTTTTTATACAGGAGGTCAGTTTCTTTCCTAGACAGGTCACTATTACTTTCCTAGACAGGTCACTATTACTTTCCTAGACAGGCACTGTTTCCTGGACAGGTCATTATTTCTCTCCTAGACAGGTACATGTTGTCTTGCTTGCATAATTCTAGCTATCCTTGACAGGTGAGTCACTCCAGTCACAATAAGTGTCTAATCTGGTTTATTTTTCTTTTCGACTTCTCTGATCACTACTGTTGACAACTATTTGGTAATTATGTACATTTTAGCTAGTAATTATAAATGTATTGCACTAGCTAACTTAGAGTCAGCGGGATAAATTTGGTTATGTAATTTAGACGATATCTCATTATTGATGTCAGTATGTGATTGTATTTTACATGTAAGACTGAACATTAAAATGGTATAAAATACCGACAGGTTGTTAGGTAAGACACATATGCAACAGTTAGGTATCTTTATTATGAAACGTTTCGCCTACACAGTAGGCTTCTTCAGTCAAGTACAGAAAAGTTGATAGAAGCAGAAGATACTTGAAGACGATGTAATCAGTCCATCACCCTTAAAGTTTTGAGGTGGTCAGTCCCTCAGTCTGGAGAAGAGCAGTGTTCCATAGTATGAAACAATATGGAGATGAAGTGACAGGATGGAGCTTTTTATAGCGCCAGGAGGTGAGACGTAGGCCACTAGGAGAGGTAAGAACTCAGATGCTGAGAGGTCAGGTCCCTCTCAAATCCAGCCGCTCTCACTAGTGGAAGTTGTCGAAGTTGATTGCAGGTCTGTACCAAGATACCCTTGTGTTGCAGTGTCTGACAGATTGAACATTAAAATGGTATAAAATACCGACAGGTTGTTAGGTAAGACACATATGCAACAGTTAGGTATCTTTATTATGAAACGTTTCGCCTACACAGTAGGCTTCTTCAGTCAAGATACCTAACTGCTGCATATGTGTCTTACCTAACAACCTGTCGGTATTTTATACCATTTTAATGTTCAATCTGTCAGACACTGCAACACAAGGGTATCTTGGTACAGACCTGCAATCAACTTCGACAACTTCCACTAGTGAGAGCGGCTGGATTTGAGAGGGACCTGACCTCTCAGCATCTGAGTTCTTACCTCTCTTAGTGGCCTACGTCTCACCTCCTGGCGCTATAAAAAGCTCCATCCTGTCACTTCATCTCCATATTGTTTCATACTATGGAACAATGCTCTTCTCCAGACTGAGGGACTGACCACCTCAAAACTTTAAGGGTGATGGACTGATTACATCGTCTTCAAGTATCTTCTGCTTCTATCAACTTTTCTGTACTTGACTGAAGAAGCCTACTGTGTAGGCGAAACGTTTCATAATAAAGATACCTAACTGTTGCATATGTGTCTTACCTAACATGTAAGACTGTATATTAAAGAGATAACACTGCAGATCTTAGGTGGATGTCAGTGACATGTGCAGTCTGCCGCTGTCAGCGAGATTCTGCTTATAGCCCTCTTAACTGCTTCACCTTCCAGTCTTATACTGTTCCACCTTCCAGTCTTATACTGTTCCACCTTGCAGTCTTATACTGCTCCACCTTCCAGTCTTATACTGTTCCACCTTGCAGTCTTATACTACTCCACCTTCCAGTCTTATACTGTTCCACCTTCCAGTCTTATACTGCTCCACCTTCCAGTCTTATACTGCTCCACCTTCCAGTCTTATACTGTTCCACCTTGCAGTCTTATACTACTCCACCTTCCAGCCTTATACTGTTCCACCTTCCAGTCTTATACTGCTCCACCTTCCAGTCTTATACTGCTCCACCTTGCAGTCTTATACTGCTCCACCTTCCAGTCTTATACTGCTCCACCTTCCAGTCTTATACTGTTCCACCTTGCAGTCTTATACTACTCCACCTTCCAGCCTTATACTGTTCCACCTTCCAGTCTTATACTGCTCCACCTTCCAGTCTTATACTGCTCCACCTTCCAGTCTTATACTGCTCCACCTTGCAGTCTTATACTGCTCCACCTTCCAGTCTTATACTGCTCCACCTTCCAGTCTTATACTGCTCCACCTTCCAGCCTTATACTGCTCCACCTTCCAGTCTTATACTGCTCCACCTTGCAGTCTTATACTGCTCCACCTTCCAGTCTTATACTGCTCCACCTTCCAGTCTTATACTGTTCCACCTTCCTGTTTAAAGGAACTTGTGGAAAAGGACATTTGTGAACAGTTCTTGCCTATATATACCCATCCTTCTCTCCTTTTCGTTAGTGTGACTTTGTAAATGGTCCAAATCGGACCGAAACGTCGTCGTAAGCTTCTCTCTTCTATGTGCGGGTTATTTGTGTATTGTTCCAGTCACAGTATTGTGCCTTTTTTGTTATTTATTAAGAGAACATTTCTTCACGAGTGGCATCGTCAGTTTCAAGATGAAGTCTCTCGTGTTCGAAACGTTTCCTTTAATAAATATCCACAAGTGTCCACAAATGTCCTTGTCCTCAGTTTAACTGTATCACTAAAACTCTTAAAACCTGCAACTGGTTTATTACGCTTAGTATCGCACCTAGACGAGTCAACACAGCTGCTTACAGCAACTTCATGACTCGACGTGTCTCGTTCACCAGGGATGCTGGTGATTATCAACATGTTGGATATTGTGCAAGAAAGGTATAAAATACCGACAATATGAAAGTTAAGACACATGTGCAACATCTGGATATCTTTATTGTAGACGTTTCGCCATCCAGTGGCTTTATCAATACAGATTCTAGGACATAATAGGAAGACAGTAGAACTATATACAAAAGATGAGGTAATCAGTCCCACCACGATGCTGTGAACACTAACTCCAAGGCCGAGGGACTGATTACCTCATCTTTTGTATATATTTCTACTGTCTTCCTATTATGTCCTAGAATCTGTATTGATAAAGCCACTGGATGGCGAAACGTCTACAATAAAGATATCCAGATGTTGCACATGTGTCTTAACTTTCATGTTGGATATTAATGAATGTCTTAAGAGGGAATTAAGTATATAGAAGTATTATGTGGAATAAAGTGTATATTTTGGACATATATTTTATTGTTGCAGCTGGGTTTACTAGCTCTGTGATAAGTCACTATTGCTATTTTTCCAAGTGGATCAATCTGATTAATATTACTCTAAGTTAGACCTAAAATAACATTATAGGCACTGGTCAGCTTAGACAAAGAGGTCAATTTGAATTTGACTGATTAATCATTGAGGGCGTCTTCAGCAAGTGACTGCATTTAAACATGAACGACAGATTATTGTCGTGTATCCGGTAGTAAACTAACTTTTACACTAGCAGTTGTGTCTTACTGGTACAATCACAGTGCTGTATCCAGCAGTAAACTAACTCTTACACTTGCAGATGTCTTACTGGTACAATCACTGTGCTGTATCCAGCAGTAAACTAACTCTTACACTTCCAGATGTCTTACTGGTACAATCACTGTGCTGTATCCAGCAGTAAACTAACTCTTACACTTGCAGATGTCTTACTGGTACAATCACTGTGCTGTATCCAGCAGTAAACTAACTCTTACACTTGCAGATGTCTTACTGGTACAATCACTGTGCTGTATCCAGCAGTAAACTAACTCTTACACTTGCAGATGTCTTACTGGTACAATCACTGTGCTGTATCCAGCAGTAAACTAACTCTTACACTTGCAGATGTGTCTTACTGGTACAATCACTGTGCTGTATCCAGCAGTAAACTAACTCTTACACTTCCAGATGTCTTACTGGTACAATCACTGTGCTGTATCCAGCAGTAAACTAACTCTTACACTTGCAGATGTGTCTTACTGGTACAACTTGATGAGGCATGAGCTGTATGAAGCCATGGAGAGGCCCAAGAACACCAAGAAGGCCAAGAATATTTTATTCTTCCTTGGTGACGGTGAGTTGTTTGTAGGTTTGTTTCTTCCTGGTGTGTGACGGATGCGTATGTAGTGTGACACGAAAGTGTGTGAAGTAGATAATTTCTTCCGGATGAGGTGGGTACTTTACAGTATATGAGGTGGGTACCATATAGTGATTGACGTGGGTACTTTACAGTGGGAATGAGGGTTTGCAAGTGTGTGAGGTAATCAGGTGAATGGTAGATACTTTTAGGTGTCTGAACTAGATATTTTTTGAGGTAGACTCAGGTGAGTGATATAGATGTTTCATGTTGGGTAGATATATACATGTGTGTGGTAGATATACATGTGTGTGGTAGATATACATGTGTGTGGTATATATATGCAGGTGTGTGGTAAATAATTGAAGGTTTGTGTTAGGACAAAACTTATCCTGTCAAGCATAAAATGAGTTGTGTCCTAACTGGCAGTAACTTAACTCATCGCCAGCGTGAGTGCTGGAGGTAATGATGTCAGGAAGGATAAAAGCGACAAGTTGCTTCCAAGATACATCAATATTATTATTTAAATAAAAGTGAGGAGAGGGTTCACTGGTGTTAAGTGCTGTTTTACTTAAGTTGAAAGTCCAGAAGTGATTAGTTATCCCGGGTCACTGTAATCAGCAGGATTGGTAAAGTGGTCCACCTCAAGGGAGGTTCCTTGATGCTGGTGAGGGGCTCTTGATCTAGGGAATTGGATCTGTGCTCCAGTTCCCTGAATTGAGCCTGAATGCCTTCCATCCCCCCCCCAGCCCAGCATGCGCTGTATAATCCTATGGGTTTAGTGCTCCCCCATGATTATAATCTTGACAAGTGGAACTCTTTAAATGATAAACGTTGTTTTTACAAGAGATGGAACTCATCTCTCGTGGCAGAGTCCAGAGCTTAGCTGTGTCAGTAGAGAGGGTGATCACTGGTATATCAAAAGCCGACTGCATTAACTACTGGGCCAACTGCCTCTAATCTTATTACAGCCAGCTGAGAGAGTGGTCAACACACTGGCCTATGAGTTTTTGGATTTGCCTGCCATAGTTTCAATCCCCACCCGTTCCGTGATTTGTTTGCAATTGTGTTATCGCGATATTCCGAGTCATGACGGGGAAACCTAGTTTCTGAGAGTGAGCTGCGAGAAATTAAGTCTGTAAACACTGCCTGGGGTTCAGGAAAATATTCTGAACTTTCGTAACATCCAAACTGGTGGTGTAGGTGAGGCAGTGTGCAGAAGAGTCAAAAGGCGGTGTAGGTGAGGCAGTGTTAGGGAAGGGAGAGTCAAACTGGTGATGAGGGTGAGGCAGTGTGCGGGGAGTCAAACTGTTGGTGTAGGTGAGGCAGTGCGTAGGAGAGTCAAACTGGTGGTGTAGGTGAGGAAATGTGCGGGGAGCCAAACTGATGGTGTAGGTGAGGCAGTGTGCGGGAAGGGAGAGTCAAACTGGTGGTGTAGGTGAGGCAGTGTGCGGGGAGTCAAGCTCAGGTTGTTGGCGAGGCAGTGTGTGGGGAGTCAAACTGGTGGTGTAGCTGAGGCAGTGTGCGGGAAGTGACAGTCACACTGGTGTAGGTGAGGCAGTGTGCGGGAAGTGAGAGTCAAACTGGTGTAGGTGAAGCAGTGTGCGGGAAGTGAGAGTCAAACTGGTGTAGGTGAGGCAGTGTGCGGGAAGTGAGAGTCAAGCTGGTAGTGTAGGTGAGGCAGTGTGCGGGAAGTGAGAGTCAAACTGGTGGTGTAGGTGAGGCAGTGTGCGGGAAGTGAGAGTGAAACTGGTAGTGTAGGAGAGGCAGTGTGCGGGAAGTGAGAGTCAAACTGGTGGTGTATGTGAGGCAGTGTGCGGGAAGTGAGTCAAACTGGTGTAGGTGAGGCAGTGTGCGGGAAGTGAGTCAAACTGGTGTAGGTGAGGCAGTGTGCGGGAAGTGAGAGTCAAACTGGTGGTGTAGGTGAGGCAGTGTGCGGGAAGTGAGAGTCAAACTGGTGTAGGTGAGGCAGTGTGCGGGAAGTGAGTCAAACTGGTGTAGGTGAGGCAGTGTGCGGGAAGTGAGAGTCAAACTGGTGTAGGTGAGGCAGTGTGCCGGAAGCGAGAGTCAAACTGGTGTAGGTGAGGCAGTGTGCGGGAAGTGAAGTCAAACTGGTGTAGGTAGGCAGTGTGCGGGAAGCGAGAGTCAAACTTGTGTAGGTGAGGCAGTGTGCGGGAAGTGAGAGTCAAACTGGTGTAGGTGAGGCAGTGTGCGGGAAGAGTCAAACAGTGGTGTAGGTGAGGCAGTGTGCGGGAAGTGAGAGTCAAACTGGTGATGTAGGTGAGGCAGTGTGCGGGAAGTGAGAGTCAAACTGGTGGTGTAGGTGAGGCAGTGTGCGGGAAGTGAGAGTCAAACTGGTGTAGGTGAGGCAGTGTGCGGAAGGGAGAGTCAAACTGGTGGTGAAAGGTGAGGCAGTGTGCGGGAAAAGGAGAGTCAAACTGGTGGGTGTAGGTGAGGCAGTGTGCAGGGAGTAAACTGGGGTTGTTGGCGAGGCAGTGTGTGGGGAGTCAAACTGGTGGTGTAGGTGAGGCAGTGTGCGGAAGGGAGAGTCAAACTGGTGTAGGGTGAGGCAGTGTGCGGGAAAGTGAGAGTCAAGCTGGTAGTGTAGGTGAGGCAGTGTGCGGGAAGTGAGAGTCAAACTGGGGGTAGGTGAGGCAGTGTGCGGGAATGAGAGTCAAGCTGGTAGTGTAGGTGAGGCAGTGTGCGGGAAGTGAGTCAAACTGGTAGTGTAGGTGAGGCAGTGTGCGGGAAGTGAGAGTCAAACTGGTGGTGTAGGTGAGGCAGTGTGCCGGAAGTGAGAGTGAAACTGGTGGTGTATGTGAGGCAGTGTGCGGGAAGTGAGAGTCAAACTGGTGTAGGTGAGGCAGTGTGCGGGAAGTGAGTCAAACTGGTGTAGGTGAGGCAGTGTGCGGGAAGTGAGTCAAACTGGTGTAGGTGAGGCAGTGTGCGGGAAGCGAGAGTCAAACTGGTGGTGTAGGTGAGGCAGTTTGCGGGAAGTGAGAGTCAAACTGGTGGTGTAGGTGAGGCAGTGTGCGCGAAGTGAGAGTCAAACTGGTGTAGGTGAGGCAGTGTGCGGGAAGTGAGAGTCAAACTGCTGTAGGTGAGGCAGTGAGCGGGAAGAGAGTCAAACTGGTGGTGTAGGTGAGGCAGTGTGCGGGAAGTGAGTCAAACTGGTGTAGGTGAGGCAGTGTGCGGGAAGTGAGAGTCAAACTGGTGTAGGTGAGGAAGTGTGCGGGAAGTGATAGTCAAACTGGTGTAGGTGAGGCAGTGTGCGGGAAGTGAGAGTCAAACTGGTGGTAGGTGAGGCAGTGTGGGGGAAGTGAGAGTCCAAACTGGTGTAGGTAAGGCAGTGTGCGGGAAGTGAGAGTCAAACTGGTGGTGTAGGTGAGGCAGTGTGCGGGAAGTGAGAGTCAAACTGGTGATGTAGGTGAGGCAGTGTGCGGGAAGTGAGAGTCAAACTGGTAGTGTAGGTGAGGCAGTGTGCGGGAAGTGAGAGTCAAACTGGTGTAGTGAGGCAGTGTGCGGGAAGTGAGAGTCAAATGGTGTAGGTGAGGCAGTGTGCGGGAAGTGAGGTCAAACTGGTGTAGGTGAGGCAGTGAGCGGTGAAGTGAGAGTCAAACTGGTGGTGTAGGTGAGGCAGTGTGCGAGAAGTGAGAGTCAAACTGGTGGTGTAGGTCAGGCAGTGTGCGGGAAGTGAGAGTCAAACTGGTAGTGTAGGTGGGGCAGTGTGCGGGAAGTGAGTCAAAATGGTGGTGTAGCTGAGGCAGTGTGCGGGAAGTGAGTCAAACTGGTGGTGTAGGTGAGGCAGTGTGCGGGAAGTGAGAGTCAAACTGGTGTAGGTGAGGCAGTGTGCGGGAAGTGAGAGTCAAGCTGGTAGTGTAGGTGAGGCAGTGTGCGGGAAGTGAGTCAAACTGGTAGTGTAGGTGAGGCAGTGTGCGGGAAGTGAGAGTCAAACTGGTGGTGTAGGTGAGGCAGTGTGCCGGAAGTGAGAGTGAAACTGGTGGTGTATGTGAGGCAGTGTGCGGGAAGTGAGAGTCAAACTGGTGTAGGTGAGGCAGTGTGCGGGAAGTGAGTCAAACTGGTGTAGGTAGGCAGTGTGCGGGAAGTGAGGTCAAAACTGGTGTAGGTGAGGCAGTGTGCGGAAGCGAGAGTCAAACTGGTGGTGTAGGTGAGGCAGTGTGCGGGAAGTGAGAGTCAAACTGGTGGTGTAGTGAGGCAGTGTGCGGAAGTGAGTCAAACTGGTGTAGGTGAGGCAGTGTGCGGGAAGTGAGAGTCAAACTGGTGTAGGTGAGGAAAGTGGGGGGCGGGAAGTGATAGTCAAACTGGTGTAGGTGAGGCAGTGTGCGGGAAGTGAGAGTCAAACGGGTTTGTAGGTGAGGCAGTGTGCGGGAAGTGAAGTCAAACTGGTGTAGGTAAGGCAGTGTGGGGGAAGTGAGAGTCAAACTGGTGGTGTAGGTGAGGCAGTGTGCGGGAAGTGAGAGTCAAACTGGTGATGTAGGTGAGGCAGTGTGCGGGAAGTGCGAGTCAAACTGGTAGTGTAGGTGAGGCAGTGTGCGGGAAGTGAGAGTCAAACTGGTGTACGTGAGGCAGTGTGCGGGAAGTGAGAGTCAAACTGGTGTAGGTGACGCAGTGTGCGGGAAGTGAGGGTCAAACTGGTGTAGGTGAGGCAGTGAGCGGGAAGTGAGAGTCAAACTGGTGGTGTAGGTGAGGCAGTGTGCGAGAAGTGAGAGTCAAACTGGTGGTGTAGGTCAGGCAGTGTGCGGGAAGTGAGAGTCAAACTGGTAGTGTAGGTGGGGCAGTGTGCGGGAAGTGAGTCAAAATGGTGGTGTAGCTGAGGCAGTGTGCGGGAAGTGAGTCAAACTGGTGGTGTAGGTGAGGCAGTGTGCGGGAAGTGAGAGTCAAACTGGTGTAGGTGAGGCAGTGTGCGGGAAGTGAGAGTCAAACTGGTGGTGTAGGTGAGGCAGTGTGCGGGAAGTGAGAGTCAAACTGGTGTAGGT